GCCAGAGTTGCGGCCTGATAATACATGGCCTGAGCAAATGGATTTAGCGAAGCCAACATCTGTGCCGAGGATGAGTATGGCATCGCAGGGTTGTAGTAAGAGTCAGTTTTCGTATTGGTAGAACGAGGGATGCTAGAAGCTTGAGGACCGGAACCTGATGACAGCCAAGATTGTGGGGTTCCACATGAAAGAGCAGAAGTAGAGGACGGATCCAATGGCATATCTGGTTGACCTCGACCAGAAGAAACACCTTCACTGCTAATGGGGGTATTGGACAGCGTTTGGTTGTACGATCCCAATTCTGCACCCAGAAGACCGGAGTTAACTACTTTATTTTCGCTTCGTGAACCCAGAGGAGCAGGCTGAGCATATGGGAGCATAAGGCTTGGATTTGACTAAAATGAAGCCATTGAAAAAAAAACGTGGCTCAATGAGGGTCATAAACCTTTTATAAGAGGAATCAAACATCAAAACTTTAGTATAGTAAGGGTGGAGTTTCACGATGTGTATATTGTGAGCAATCGGAAAAATACAGCTCACTCATAGTGAACATCGATCACATAGAAACTTTACAGATTAGGTGGTGTATCTTATCATCATCGTAATCGGATGGCGAACTTCGCAGAATGTACAGTTGTGTATGCACCATTATTCTCAAGGATACTAGTCTGATGAGGAAGGATTGTAAGAATGCTACTACTATCGATTTGCTACGTGTACTGTAGTGGATCTAAAGAAGAGTTGAAAAATCTTTTCATACTTTTACCTGGCTAAACGAAACAGACCTACCTTATCTCTCTAATCATTACGTGCCTTTCTTGGAGCCGAATTACCACTGGATCTGCTGACCACGTGAATTTCTCCATCCTGAATTAGCAACTGTAAAAAGATATGGTGAAGTGGACGACTGCTAAACGCGTGCAATAAGTGCCCGACCCGGTGAAGCCCAACTGGCTGAATTCAACGTGATAAAGAAGTTTACATCGATACCTTCCCAAATACACCGGTTTATCACGATGTTATCTATTTGCTTCCTCCATCTCAGGCAAGCACCGACAGTCAAAAACTTTCGAATAATGGGTCTCTCCCTTAAGCAAATTCAGGGTTTCAACCAGAAATGACCACATAGTGGCGCAGTATACGTGACCTTTGAACTTCAAGGGAATACCATGTTCACACCATGTGTCAGTTCTGCGAACTCTGGATATGTGAGCGGTCATCTCTTTAAACGAGATACCGTCATTGAGGACGTTACTACCAACATAGGTAAATTACTCAACTGTAGTTTAATCCAAAACATCAAGTAAGATGCCTGAAGACAACTACAGGTATTGATCAAATTCATGCAGTATCCTGGCTTTCATTACATCTGATCCTTCAAATGAGTAGCGTGTTGAGCCTCATTTACGGGATTGTATACGGTATTGCCTCACACCAGACGCAACTTATCTATGGTAATGTTATTGCTTCCATTAGCAGAGCACCATTTGAATGTACGATTCCTCGATTCTGAAGGTTTGCCGGTATATTTACCACATAATTTATCAGCTTATTTAAGATAAAATTAAAGATATAAAATTTTTATTAACCAACTCATCTACGGTGCACCGCACGCAAAAAAAGCCATTGAATTATGAAACAGTAACCATTATTAAAAAAAAACGAACTTCCATGTAGCTTCACATAAAATATTTCTCAATTCTCAGCTGTTTTTCGAGCTGCTACAAATTTTACCGCGACACACAAGGTCGCACAAATCCAAATTGTGATACAATAGAAGTAAGAACATTACGGTGGGAGATCACGTTCGGAATGGATACACTTCAATCACAGCCATCAACATATACTTATGATATTGAAAACTTCAATGTATTTCCAAAATTACAGTCATGTTGCACACGTTTGATCAATACCCGAATATGATCAGAGTCATCGCATGTGGTTCAACAGGACCTGCAGTTTAGAACTGAACCAAACCAATGGGAGGTTACTGGTTTCCCGTTCATCCGAGTAAACAGGATACACTTTCTGATCGGAAGCTAGGTGCACCGTTTACTATTATTCATCGCATCAAGGTATGTAAACTAGACTATCCGGATATTGGGCAATGTTGTGATGTAAGGAATAATGGAGTATCAGCATGCACCGTGGGTCTAATCAAATGAGCGCAACGTTTAATTCTTAGCCGATCGCTTTCAGGATGTTGCACGGTTCGAAGGATTTTGGTTCATTACAAGCATATCGGAACTGATATCGAATAGCACTTTCAACACACCAACCGTTCACCATTACGGATACTCTCATCGAACAGTGCCTATATACACGTGAAACGCGTGTCTATTGCGCGTGTGCGCGAGATAGAGATACAAACGTAGTTTTATCAACTACACCAAACTGTCCGAATGCAGTATGTGGACTTGTGCGGTTAACTACGACAAAAGTCTCAACTATAATGCTTACTTGAGTGCAGCGATCCTCTGCTATATGTCGGAGTAGTGCGAGGTGAAACGTATGTTCCGCAGGAAATTGGAGATTCACACTCACTACTTGATGCGGTGATTAACATAAGACCCTAGAGAGAAACGGTAATGAGCTCAGAGATAAAAAGCAGGGTGATTCATCGTGTTTGGACTACATTTGAATGTCGCTTTTCGCCGATAACAAACACCCACACAACTTTTGTCGACGGGACAACTACGCACACCAGTAATACCATTCAGGTGCTTCCCCGTATTGTATCTTTTCTGACCCAATGACATGCCCTTTCATTTTGCGCCAACCATGATAGTTCACATGGTTCGGGGTCTGAATGCCTCAAAAACAATCGTTTAGGGAGGATGGTGCACAACAGATCCCGTGAACTGACAGTCCTGCTTCATCCATTTAGTCGTAGTCTCATCTATGATGGATGATGGAATAAAACGGAACGCTGAACGAGTATAATATCACGTGTTCGCGATTTTACGGTGCTCAGGTCTGCACTCGCCGATCAGATGCGGCAAAAGCGAAGCACAGCCACATTGTGCGCCTATAATAAGAAGCACACGAACCGACTGGTAGATAGACATGCACGAGACGTACAGCTACGCAAACGGATTCGAGGTGTACACTGATTCAGCCCACCCACCAACCCGTGTAGAGTATTGGGGGAAAGTGTTACGGATAAGGACGATACCTAGGCGGTTTTTTGGGACATCGTCCATAGGATGCTAGCCTGTGTGTGCGTGTCCGTCTGTGTCGAAGTATTGTATTCCGCACAGAGGGTAGAAGTTACCAGGGTGGATACGGATATTGGAAGCATTGGACAAAACGGTCGATAAAAACTAACAAAACCAGGAGAGAATGACATTCCTATCCTACGATCCTGGCCATAAGGAGCTGAGTGTTCTGTTGTGCGGGGGTCTATTAAGTGCTGCCTTTCTTACCACGCTCAGCTGCTCTAATACCATTAAGACGTAAAGATTTTTACCAGAGTACTCTCAGCTCGATATCTCAAAGAGAACGGAACACTTTTTGGAGGAATTGAATGATCACAAACAAATCACTGGAAAATAGTTTTCCGTAATGAGTTTGAATCGAGAAGTCAGAAGATAAAGGATTGCACTATGAATATGAATGGATCCCATCCCATTCATCGTTGTTTAGTGAAAACTTGCCCAAACTTGCAACGACTGGGTGTAGTTGCGCCCGTGGCAAATCGCTATTTCGAGTTCAACGCCCCAAACTGAAAGACAGTTGTTTTTTTTTAACGCAACGAAGAAACAGTTTGAGAACTCTGCAACTGTAACTCAAACTACTATATCAACATGACCCTTGTTCATACAACCTTTACCTAAGAGTAAAAAGAAGCGAATGAGCATAACAGGGTTCTGAGAATTCTTTGTTTCGCCGATTACTTTCATTTTTGGAACTTGGCGAAAGTGTATCTTAGGGGTAAGAACACATCCCAAGGACAGAGTCAGGGACAGACATAGGTACGAAAACTTTAATTTTGTCCGAAGATAAAAATATTAAGATTATCATAAATATGAACGGTGAAATTCAAACGTGAAATTATTTCGATAATTTTGAATTCGTGTTTATCGGCATGATATAAATGGGAGGAAGTTACCTGATGCCACCAACCCACATAGTTGACCGGAGCGAGTAGACTAGCAGCCATAGCCGCGGATAAAGCTGACTGTGTTTGTGAGTCAGTGGGCTGAGCGGATTCGTATCCCCGCAATGTTTGCACTGATCCAGGTAATTGTTGTTGTTGTTGTTGCTGTTGTGATAAGGTGTCAACGCCGTTCGAATAACTGGACGATTGAGATCGTAAATCGGACGTCGCCGTGGAGAAACTGGTATGCATATGTTGTTGTTGCTGTTGCTGCTGCTGCAAAGTTTGGTACATATTGGATTGGCCGAATAGGAAATTTGTGGGAAAATTCACAGAACTATTGTTCGAGAACATGGGTGCACTGAAGGCTGAAGAGTATAAATGCGGATTGGACGGGTTGGCGAACGCAGGAGACGACGGCTCTGCCAAAGGTTTGGAAACCCCGAGCTGCTGTGATGGCTGTGTTTTCTCGCTCTGTTTGGGACGCTTAGCTGTTGTGGATCTACGTCTTGGACGTTTTTCTATCGCACAGAATAAAACATGCATGGGAAGTAAATAAAACCAGTAAGTATAGAAAAAAGATGAAGCAAATAAATAAAACATCGAAAATAGCTAATCCAAAGTGAAAGAAACCGAGCAAGTAAACTCAAATTTAAATAACGAATTGCTTCAGGGTGCAGTTCAGGAAACTCACATGATCGAAAGCAGCTCAAGCGTAATACAACTTCCAGCTTCGTGCGAGATGCAACCTCGTGCTCCGTTCACCAAAGTGATGTGTACGACATTGAGAGGGTTTATTAGGATGATTTATCTCTTCGGACTCAAGAGCATCAATAAATTGGGACGGGAAACAACTCGAAACTACCGCCTGAATTCTAGAGGTATTGAAACAAACAGACAAATCACAAAAAGCCTCAAGAATGACGACGTAAACTGGTCGCCAAAAATAAGCCAGTGAAGGGAAAGTAGCCGCGGTCTCAGGAAATATACAGACGAAAACCAATCTATTCAATACGCAACGTTAGAAGTCAGTGGATCCCGGGTTGCGAGTAAAGTGGATAAAGCATTCAGAATAATGGACAGCGTCTGAATCGCTGAGCAGTATTTTAACGATCAGTTTAGCTAGCCCAGTGATAGCCAAGTCATTACAGCGACGTCATAACAACCCAGAAGAGATAGAAGTGTGAAGTTGTATTCAAACAGTGATGAGAGAGGCCAGAGCAGCATTTCTGATCTTCCTGAGGCAAATCCCTAATCACTCCTCTTTTTAAGAAGAGATCTCGCGAAGGCTGCAGCAAACGCTGTGGGTAAATTTCAATTTTTGTGGTCACTATACCATTTTACCTTGCGTTTTACGTCGCCGCCTGATACCTCTTAAAGAAGTAAATGTCGAGTGATAAGATGCAGGATTTCTACTTAGTTGTGACAGCATATACAGGTGTTGAAAAAACTCATGCAACATCACCCTCATTTTGAAAATCCATTTCAGCTTGCAATATCATAGTTGTATATAGATGGCTATGAGTAAAGTGTCGTTATTCCTGACTTTATCTCCAATATCTATGTTCTTAATTCATTTCTGTCACCATTTGAATGTGCGCGACCTTGAGTATTCCTATAAAATTTGCAGTAGTTCGAAAGTTACAGCTCTGATTTAGAAAATATTTTGGGCAAAGCAACATGGGAGCTCATTCTTTTTAATAGACGATTCCTGTTCCATAAGAGTTTCTATTAAGTTGAGCACACGTATTCTAAATTTCTATTCTCTTTTCATTCAGTGCATAGTAAATAAGCAAATTATTGAAAATATTCTTACCTGAATAAATTGATAAATTGTTGGGCTGCAAACTACTCACGCAATATCTCCAATACTGGAAGAATTAAAAACATAGCCCAAGAAAGACAAGTTGATCTTCGAAATTTGACCTTGAGGTGTGCGGCTCGTTGAATAAGCGTCCTGTAGNGAATAATTAAAGCCGAGAGGCAACTAAAGCGAGAATCGCATAAATCTGTTTGCTCAGTTGATATTTTGTGGAAGCGCTTGGATGTGAACATAAGTCCAGTTTGTTGCATATTCAACGAAATTTCTTTATCAAGACATAAACGGAGAGGGAGAAGACCGGCCATAGCACAGTAAGATGATGGTTGTATTTGATCACAGCAAAGAGTTGCACAGAACCAATCTGGAGGATAGTTCGG